ATGTCGTTCCCATCTACATTTATTGTTAAGCTTTGAAGATTCCCTGGTAGTTGGTTGTCTACTAGTGCTTGTTTCATGTTGTCTATGGTTGCTCCACTAAATGTGAGAAATAAGTGGTTTTTTAGCAAGATGTTTCTTCTGAATGTGAGTTGACTGAGAATCACTCATCCCAAGATGTTCAACTTGAGGTGGTATATTTCGTGTCCTGAACTGTTTGTATAGAGTTTTCCTGTTTGTCTCAACAGCACTATGTGTACCATGATGTTCATCTGTTTTCTTAGAAGGTGATAGAGGAAGTGAACTTTAAATAACTTGCTCTACTTCTATTTTATTTTAATCATAGCAGTATTTCTATTAACTTCCAAACTTAATATCGCGATATTTCGCTTATGAGCATGATGATTTGTTGAGTTGGACTTGGGTTTGGCTAACTATTTGAATTTAACAGTGCATGATCGAATCTAACGGGATACACATTGTCAGAGTCAACTTGTTGAAAGGCAACAGTGTGACGTTTCTGTGCTCTTTCGTTAAAGGAAGAACTGAAACTATATCAATTACCTTCTCCTTGCATGACCCAGACCAAGCCAAACAAACACTAAAACTAAGGAGCAACTCTTTTATCCAATATGTCTAGCCATCTCAGACTTTGATGTATGTAGTGTTCTCACTATTTTACTACTATTGTGATCTAATTGTTCACAGTAAATGCATCGTAAGCACACCACCCTAGCCTGCCCGTCCCAAGACGACTGTATTACAGATCGTGTAACCTTATTTTAGAATACACGATCCATTCACACGGTTTCTTATCCATTCATCCCTCTTCCCGCAAATATGTTGAGGCAGTAAACTAGAAGATATACCTTGAAAATTCAAGATGTTAGAATATGTATATGGCTTGTTTAGCGCGACTTGGTAAACTGCGTAGTGCTAAATATCTGAGATTGGTACTAGAAAAAGTTGGTCAAAGATAGTTAACATGAGAGATCGTCTCCGAGTCAACGTGACTACCATCGAAAACACTCTTTAGTGTTTAGTTTACTCCCATTCTTAAATACAATAATTATTAAAGTCATTTTTACGTTCGCTTTCAATCTTCAATCTTGTATAATATACACCAAGTTGTCTTTGTAAACCGGTAATGGTCAAGTCGTCAGCATAAAGCAGACACATTAATTTTAATAGCCCAATATAGATCCCGATACAGATATCAGTCTGAAGCATGTGCATGACCAATTCAAAACTCAATGATGAATAAACTGACAAGTTTAAAACTCGTTGTTTTTCATTTTGGATTTCAGTATTTCATAGGTTATTATATTATGGTCAATTCTAGTTAACGTTTTTTTTTTCAAAATCGACGAAAGCGCAGTACAGGGCGATACTTTCCAAATAGTAGTTTCAAGAATGAACGGGTTGTCAAATGTGCTGCGTTTTTTACGGAACCCCCAACCCAGACTGAGCTTCTACTAACAGGCAGTTACATGTAACGAATACGA